TTAAGAAGAGCATCTCCAGCAGGTCGAGGGAGGTGATCCTGCCCCTCTACTCAGCCCTGGTGAGGCCGCATCTGGAGTATTGTGTCCAGTTCTTGGCTCCACAGTACAAGAGGGATGTGGATCTACTGGAGAGAGTCCAGCTCAGGGCTACGAGGATGATCAGGGGCCTGGAACATCTGCCCTATGAGGAGAGGCTGAGGGAGCTGGGCCTGTTCAGCCTGGAGAAGAGAAGGCTGAGAGGGGACCTGAGCAGTGTCCAGAAGTACCTCAAGGGAGGCAGTGAGGAGGATGGTGCTGGCCTCTTTTCACTGGTAACCACCGACAGAACTAGAGGAAATGGCCACAAACTGAAACACCAAAAGTTCCACAGGAACTTAAAAAAATTTCCCTTAACAGTGAGGGTGCCAGAGCACTGGAACAGGCTGCCCAGAGAGGTTGTGGAGTCTCCTTCTCTGGAGATCTTCAAAACCCGCTTGGGCGCAGCCCTGTGCCACGTGCTCTAGGTGACCCTGCGTGTGCAGGGGGGTTGGACTAGACTTTGAGAGGTCGCTTCCAACCTTCAGCGTTCTGTGATTCTATGGAACCATATAGATTCCTCTTCTGTATGGGGGCTGTGGGGGTCCAAGTGTCCTGAGGGGCATAGGGGAGCCATGTAGGGCACTATAGGGGTCCCTGGGGCTGGGGAGGCAGGCAGCACCTGAGCATGCAGGGAGCCCTATGGAGGACATAGGAGCTAAGGGCGTTCAAGGGATTTAGGGACTGGGGCGTGCGGGAGGGGGGCGTGAGGGTGACCTGGGGGTGCAGGGCAGCTGTGGGGGCTCTATAGGGCTTATGGGGGGGCAAGGGAGCTGTGGGGGGGTTCCATAGGGGTGCAAGGGGACGCCCCTGCCCCGCGGTGCTGCTCGGTGCCAGGATGCCCATCCATGCCACGGCACGTGGCGCAGGGTGCTGGCAGGACGCGGCGCGGCAGGCAGGGGCTGGCACGGAACCAAGGACCGGCCCTGCTGTCACCTTGTCCCCGGCAGAATGCTGCTGCTGCTAGCGGTGCCAGGAGCTGCCCCAGCAGTGCCCGGACTGGGGCTCCTGGCCCATGGGCTTCCCCAAGCACAGTCCCCTAGTCCCTGTCCCACTCTAGGCAGCACATTCCTGATGCCTAACGTGTCCTCCAGTCCTTGTCCCACTCCAAGTGACACGTACCTGATGCTGAGAGCATCCTCCGAGGCCCATCCCGCTCCAGCTGTCACGTACTTGGAGCTGAGACAGTCCTCCAAATCCTGTCCTGCTCCAGCCAATGCGTACCTAGCACTGAGAGCATCCTCCAGACCCTGTCCCACTCCAGATGACACATACCCGCAGTGGAGAGAGTCCTCCAGACCCTGTCCCACCTCAGATGACACCCTGGTGCTGGAAGAATTCTCCAGTCCCTGTCCCAGTTTTGTGTTTGGTGCCATGAGCATCCTCCAAAAGTTGTCCTGCTCTAGCTGGCCAGGGCTGGTGCTGTGAGCCTCCGCCCAGACCTTGTCCTGCTCCTGTCAGCCAGTGTCTGGTGCCGAGAGCGCCGCACAGGCTTCCTCTGCTCCAGGCAGGCAGTGCTAACCCGTGCTGGGCATGGCCTCTGTCCTCGGGGCTCTGTCCTCGTCATGCTGAGCTGTGCCTGGAGCTAGGAACGTCCTCCAGGCCTTGTCCTCCTCATGCCAACTTGTGCCCGGTGCTGTGTCCTCCATGCCATGTCCTTTCCATGCCAACTTGTGCCTGGTGCTATGAACGTCTTCCAGACCTTGTCCTGCTCCAGCTAGCTAGTACCCGGTGCTGAGTGTCCTGCACACACTGTCCTGCTGCTGGCACCCTGGTGCTGTGAAGCTTCTTCCAGACTCTGTCCTGCTCCTTGTAACTAGTGCGCGGCGCTGTGTCCTCCAGCACGCTGCCAGCTCATGCCTGTTGCTGCGAGCCTCCATCCAGACCTTGTCTTGCTGATGGTAGCTGATGTCTGATGCTGCTTTCTCCAGGCCTTGTCCTGCTCCAGCCAACTATCAGCTGGTGCTATGAGCATTCTCCAGCCCCTGTCCTGCTCCTCCCAGTTTTGTGTTTGGTGCCATGAGCATCCTCCAAAAGTTGTCCTGCTCTAGCTGGCCAGGGCTGGTGCTGTGAGCCTCCGCCCAGACCTTGTCCTGCTCCTGTCAGCCAGTGTCTGGTGCCGAGAGCGCCGCACAGGCTTCCCCGCTCCAGGCAGGCAGTGCTAACCCGTTCTGGGCATGGCCTGCAGGCCCTGTCCTGCACGGGCCAAGCTGTGCCTGGTGCTGCGTGTGTCCTCCATGCCATGTCCTTTCCATGCCAACTTGTACCTGGTGCTGTGCTTGTCCTCCATGCCCTGTCCTTTCCATGCCAACGTGTACCTGGAGCTATGAACGTCCTCCAGACCTTGTCTTCCTCATGCCTGCTTGTACCTGGTGCTGTGCTTATCCTCCATGCCCTGTCCTTTCCATGCCAACTTGTGCCTGGTGCTGTGAATGTCCTCCATGCCGTGTCCTTTCCATGCCAACTTGTACCTGGAGCTATGAATGTCCTCCAGACCTTGTCTTCCTCATGCCTGCTTGTGCGTGGTGCTGTGAGTGTCCTGCACACAGTGTCCTGCTGCTGGCAGCTAGTGCCTGGTGCTTTGAGAGACCGCCAGGCCTTGTCCTGCTCTGGCCAACTAGCAGTTGGTGCTGTGACCGTCCTCCAGACCCTGTCCCACTCCAGCCGATGTGAACCTGGTGCTGAGAGCATCTTCCAGGCCTGTCCTGCTTATACCAGCTAACGTGTGGTGTTGTGAGCGTCCTTTAGGCATTGTCCTACTCCTCCCAAATTTGTGTCTGGCCAACTAGCAGTTGGTGCTGTGAATGTCCTCCAGACCCTGTCCCACTCCCCTGGTGCTGAGCGCATCTTCCAGTCCTGTCCTGCTTATACCAACTAACATGTGGTGTTGTGAGCGTCCTTTAGGCATTGTCCTACTCCTCCCAAATTTGTGTTTGGTGCTGCGAGTTTCCTCCAGGCCTTGTCCTGCTGCTGTCAGCTATCACCTGGTGCTGTGAGTGCCCTCCTTGTCCTGCTCCGGCCAACTGGCGATTGGTGCTGTGAACAAGTCCCGGATGTTGTTCTGCTCCTGCCAGCTGGTGTTGGATGCTGTGAGTGTCCTCCAGACCTGGTCCCGCTCCTGCACACTGCTGCCCAACGCTCTCACCCTTCCGAGCAGTGCCTCCCCGGTGCAGTATGGGTCTGTCACCATGACCTTCCCTCCACCCTCCTGCTGATGTCTGTTTGTCTTTCCAGCCCAGCACAAAGTAGCTCCGCTGTCCCTGCCAGCCCCCCCTCCCCGCAGCGTGTTGACTTTGTGCTCTCCTCTCCAGGACATTAACCTGGGCTTGGAGGCACCAGTCTGCAGCTGCCCCAGCGCCACCATGCTCGGCTCTGACTGCTGATAACCTTGGGGGCTTCACGTGAGGCCGTGGGAGTGCCTATCCCCGGGGTGACAGGCACCGGCAGCCCTCGTCCCGCCTTGCAGGAGTATAAAAGTGCCCCGGTGCGACGAGGCTGGCACGGGTCTACCGCAAGGCTCACCCGTCCAGCTCCTGCACCACGTCCTCGCTCGCTGGCACCATGGCAGCCACACACTACACCTGGGCCTTGCTGCTGGTCCTGCCCGTGGTGGCCTGGGCTGGGGGCGCTGGCCCTGTCCTGAACCGGCCCTTCGTCACCATCTGGAACGCGCCCACCAAGGCCTGTGCCGAGAAGTACAACGTCACCCTCGACCTGAGCGTCTTCGACATCGTGGCCAACACCGACCAGGACTTCGACGGCGACGACGTCACCATCTTCTACAGCAAGAGCCTGGGCCTCTATCCCTACTACACGTCCGCGGGGACTCCCGTGGATGGCGGGCTGCCTCAGAACGCCAGTCTCCAGACCCACCTCCACCAAGCCGCCAGTGACATCGAGACCGCCCTGCCCAGTGCCTCCTACGATGGCCTGGCTGTCATCGACTGGGAAGCGTGGCGCCCACTGTGGGCCCGTGACTGGGATGCCATGAACATCTACCGGGAGAAGTCAGAAGAGATGGTCCGCAAGGAGCACCCGTTCTGGCCCTCTAGCCTGGTCAAGGAAGTGGCGAAGCTGGAGTTCGAGCAGAGTGCCCGTGCCTTCATGGAGCAGACACTGAAGCTGGGCGAAATCCTCCGGCCCGATGGCTACTGGGGCTTCTACGGCTTCCCCGACTGCTATAACAACGACTTCGACAGCTGGGACTACACGGGCAGGTGCCCCCTGATCGAGCAGGCGAGGAACAGGGAGCTCTACTGGCTGTGGGAGAACAGCCGCGCGCTCTACCCCAGCATCTACCTGCCCCAGCAGCTCAGCGGCACCAACAAGGTGCTCAGCTACGTCCGCAACCGCGTGGCCGAGGCCTTCTCTGTGCAGGACTTTGTCGTTGAGACCAGCATCCCTGTCCTGCCCTATGCCCAGATCACCTTTGAGAACACCGACATCTTCCTTTCTGAGGTGAGGCTGGCCGGGATGGGAGGGAGCCATGGGAGACTCAAGAGCTCTTTGATCAGCACCAGGAAAGTCTCTGTGGTGGTTGAGTGCTGGTGGGAGACGGTCCTCAAATCTGCCCTTGAGTCGATCGTTGCCTGGCTCTGGCACGAAACTCATCCTTTGGGCCGTGGCACAGGTTGGGCACGGCTTCCATATGGTGGCCTGCCACGCTGTGACCTGTGAGCGGGGGTGGTGGCAATGCCACCGTGGCGGTGCTGGCGCTCGGGAGGGGCTGCGCAGGGACTCACCTCTCCTTTCCCTGCGGCGGCAGGAGGACCTGGTGAACACCATTGGCGAGAGCGCAGCCCAGGGCGCTGCCGGCGTCGTGCTGTGGGGCAGCCTCAACTACAGCAGCTCCGAGGTGAGTGCGGGGACGGGGACTGAGCTGGGTATGGCCATGCTGCTGGGTGGGCAGAGCCCTGACACCTCTGCGTGTGCCGCTGTAGGAGATGTGCCTGAAGCTGAAGAACTACCTGGATGGGGACCTGGGCCACTACATTCTCAATGTGACAACCAGCGCCCAGCTGTGCAGCCAGAAGCTGTGCTCCGGGCAGGGCCGCTGCGTGCGCAAGAAGGACAAGGATGGCTTCCTGCACCTCGACGCCTTTGACTTCACCATCGAGAAGGACTCCAGCCAGACGCACTTGGAGGTGCACAGCACAACATCTAACACTGCCAGCGACAGCAAGACGTCCAGCACCGACAGCAAGACATCCAGCACCGACAGCAAGACAACCGGCACCAGCACCAACGGCAAGACGTCCAGCACCAGCAGCAAGACATCCAGCACCGACAGCAAGACATCCAGCACTGACAGCAAGACATCCAGCACCGGCAACAAGCCCCGACAGCAAGACAACCGCCACCAGCACCAACGGCAAGACGTCCAGCACCAGCAGCAAGACATCCAGCACCGACAGCAAGACATCCAGCACTGACAGCAAGACATCCAGCACCGACGACAAGAGCAAGACATCCAGCACCAGCACCAGCAGCAAGACATCCAGCAGCAGCAGCAAGACATCCAGCACCGACAGCAAGAGCAAGACATCCAGCACCAGCAGTAAGACATCCAGCACCAGCAGCAAGAGCAAGACATCCAGCACCGGCAGCAAGAGCAAGACGTCCAGCAGCAGCAGCCACAGCACAACGTCCAGCACCGACTCCTCCCAGCTGGCCGAGGACTTCACCTGCCAGTGCTACGACGACTGGAAGGGCACGCATTGCGACGTCAAGGCCGAGTGAGGCCACTTGCACGCTCGCCTGCATCCTCTGCACCCTTGCTTCTGCCCCATTCCTGTACCTCCCCTCTCCATGGACACGTGAGCTTGGGAATCCAGTCACTTGGCTGCTAATAAAATTGCTCTGCATCCACAAGCAGCTCCTGTCTCCTTTCTCCAGGGCTGGCATGCTCTGTGCTCGCCGACCAGGCATGGCCCTGCTTCTTGGTGGCCCTGCCACCGGTGTGGGGGCTCAGGGTGGTGGCACCTTTAGAGTGAAAGGGAGGGAGGTGACTGGGGCCAGGCGGGAGGACCGGTGCAGGTAAAGTTAGACAGGAGCATTCCAGTTCCCACACTTGTGTGGCTCCTTGGCCATGGCACTGCCTGTGCATGGGAGGGTCTCCTCGTCCCCACACCAGCAGGCAGTGTCCCATGTCTTGGTGTGGGGTGTGGGGTGACCAAGAGAGACATCCACCCAGCTGAGCATCCCCTTCCTCCCCTCGTTTCATGCCTCAGTCTCCCTCCTGTAGACACCCATCTACAGCAGAGCAGCCACCCGGTGTCCTCAGCACAGACTCTGAAGTGTCATTAACCAGGCAGGAGCAATCCCCTCGGTGTGGCGCCGGCAGGGACGCGGCCCCGGCAAAGCCACCGCTGCGGAGCCACCAGCTCCTTCCCGCCCTCACTCACTGCAGGCTGCCACCAGGAGAGGTCTCCGCACGGCCAACTTGTGCCGCCAGCTACGGAAATGCCTCCCAGAAAACCCATCTCGAGCAGCGTAGGCAGCCGGATGTCTCCGTGCACTCGAGTGGGTTGCTCTGCAGCCTTCGCTGATATTTGGCCCCAAACAGTCCCTCCGTACAGCTTGGTCTGAGCATGACCATGCGGGAGTAATAATTAGGTAAGATCCAGGCTACCCTGGCACCAAGGAACTTGGAGTAGTTTCCTGTGCCTGCAGCTTCTCGGTGCTCAGCAGCTCTCCGAGGAGGAGCTGGAGGATGAGCCAAGAGCCCTGAGTTACCCAAGCGCTCCACGAAGACCGCTCCACTGCATCGGTAACTACACGCCTGCATTACTAAATATTATATTAATAACTGCAATACTGGCATTAAAACAATTAAATATCACTAAATATTATATTAATAGCTATAATGCTTGCATTAATAAAATTAAATATCTGTGTGTGATTGCCCAGAGGAGTTGAAGTGACCATCTCAGCAAATTGCTCCTCTGAAAAAAGTGTGGTCCGGTATTTTTGTTTGGTTTTGTTTTGTTTTTCACAAGTAAATGACTATATTGCAGTAATAATGTGAATTAGCAGCTAACATGCTTAGACCTTTGCTCAAAAACTAGCTCAAAATATTACTTTCAAGGAAGGGTTCTGTTGTGTTGGGACATGTCTTTGTTACATTAAACTAATGAGCAATACCCTGTTCTTCCTCTGGAAGGTTATCAAAGCCTCACAATCGACATTATGCATTCAAAAGAAAACAGAAGAGAGGCAACCTACAGACAGAGGATTGGGAAATGGGTATTTTTAAGCAAGCTCTAATACAGCAAAGAGCTTTGAGTTATCACCAGAAGAACAAGAAATTCCAAACCCCTGAAGGGAAGGTTAAATATTGTTTGCAAGAAGCTCTCATGCACGGACACGCACATGCAAGTGTTCAATGCAGACACCCAAATGTCACAGATAGGGACGGGTCTGTGACAAGAGCTCTGTGCTACTCACAGGTGACCAGCAAAATTTAGGAAGATGTTGTAAAACATAAGGGTCAGTCCTGCTCTGAAAGGGTTTATTAATAACTCGTGTGTTTTAACGTTCTAAAATTTTTCTGTAAAAGCAGAAGGAGAGGCTGGGAGTCCTAATCAGCTTGACCAGAGTGAGGGTGTAATTTAGCTCCGCTGAGCTAAGCACCCATCCCCAGGCACGACATTAGCACCCACATCCTGGCTGAAATAACTGGGTGCTGTGAGTGACCCCTGTGCATTTCCAGACACAGGTGACAACATCTGCTCTCATTATGGCTTTTTATTGCGTTGAATGAGGCTCTAATAAGGTATTAACAGAGACGTGATTAGGGCCCAAATCCCCCCTGACACAGTTTTCCCTAAATATTTTCTGACTCTCTACCCAGCCATTTGCAAGCTGGTCTCCCCTCCTTATCCCATCCCCCCCCAAATTAGTCACGATTGGATTTCGGCCCAGTATGAGTTATCCATTTAATCATTATACAGATAGCTTGGTAAATACCTGCATTTGATTACAAGAAACAATATTATCATTTCTTTTTTTCTGTTGTTTCTTAATGGGGAATGTGATTCAGCTCAGTGTTTGCAGGAATTCATGCATGCATACCTTCCAAGCCACTGACAAAATAATATTTGCTATGTATTAAACAGAGGGAATCTGAAGCAAAGTTCAGCTTCCTATCCATGGCTCTCAAGTCCTCTTTCTGATGGGAGGATATCACGGCTCTGCACTCCAAGTTTCTTGGCATTTAACATGTTCTGAGGGCTGAGCTCCTGAGTAGCTACTGAGTATTAGGGGCTGGCGGCTGCTCTCAATCAAAAGTCAGGCTGTGAAATGGGCCAGCTCTTTGTTTTCCATTGCAATAATTCAAGCTTGGGAATCAACACAGGTTGTCACCTCCAAATATTAGTTTTAAGCGGATGTAACAGCTTTGCTCGTCCTATGGTAAAGCTAGTCCTCCATCCTTGCTTCTTGCACTGTATTTAAAGGCACATGAGATGCTGGATATCACACAATCCAGCTTGTTCTCCTTGACTCCCTCCTCTACTCCATTAGAGAGTTGCATAAAACTGTTTTCTAGTCTTTTTTTTTCTACATACTGCTTCAAGAAGTATGGACAATAGGTTTATAAACTAAAAATCCACCACTAAAACCACCCTAGTCAACAGACGAGTATTTTCCTCCTAGGCAACTTGAGTCACATGTTCTGTTATCTCCCAAATGTGCTTAAGTGTGTGGTGTAGGCAGCTACCCCAAACAGCAGAGCTGACTTGGCTGTTCCTAAGCTAGAAAAGTTGTGTTAAGGAGCCACAGCGAAGACCTTAACAGCGAGAAGCCTTTCATGCTTTGCTATGACTGGGTTATAAAAATAGTTTAGCTGAAGAGCAAGGCTTAGATGAAGCCTTGCATAAAACAGAAGCAGGGAAGCCCTTCAAAACAGGTTTCTCAGATAAAGCTGGCAAACAGAAGCCTACTGCAGCCTGTACATCCACCCTAAAACACAGCTCAGCGGGAGTTTCATCTTTAGTTCCCTCGGAGTAGTACTGATGTCAGTGGACATTATCCAGATGAAAGTGGTTCTTCTTTCTGGTCTCTTTGCATTTGGGTTTTGTGTTTGAAGACCATCCTTCCCCTTCCAATCTTCACGCTTGCTCACGTATTTCTAGGCAAAATCTAAAATGCTCTGCGGGTACCAGAGACTCTGCTGCTCTCCTGGATTTGTCTGCGTGCGTATCTTGTTCCGGAGTACGAGCAAGGAGGCCAGTAGTTATTTCTCTGATTCAGCAGATTGCAATTTCAGAAATTACTCTGAAATATTTAAAGCCTGAAACATGATTTGCTGGCACCCAACAAGTGTTTAAACATCCAGCATAAACACCGGACCCAGCTTTAGGTTATGTAAACAGAAATGTGTTCATTTGTTCTGTGTTCAGAAGCTCGTCCTACTTTGCTCAGTCATTTTTAAACCTTCCAGCAATGGGTCTGGACTTTAGTAAGAAAAAGACCTTGGGCGACAATTCTAGTGAAGCTGTTTTTATGCTGCATAAAACACCACGAGAGATGCTCCCCTCCTTCCACAGCAGGTGAAGTGCGAGTCAACCTGTGCTTTGAAACATCTATGCTTCTCAAGACAGCAATATACCAACACTCTTCAGTTGGTTTTGACGATTCACTTAGAGAATCTGTGATATTGCTAAATGCTTTGAAGCAGAGTTTGGTGTGCAGGTTGTGGTCTCCCCATCGGTGCATGTGAGCTCGAGCAGAACACCACCAAAACCTTCCTGCGGCAGAAGAACGGCAGCTAAACCCCTCCGTGTTTGGGTTGGAAGCGACCTTTCTCCTCGGCTTTGACTAGCAGGGGTAGTTGCAGTGCTGGTTTTCTGGAAGGCACAAAGAACCTTAGCTGTGTTTTTTACCTTTCCTTGGGAGTTCACTGATTTATGTTTCTCCTTTTTACTCTTTCTCTATGTACTTACGTTTTACTTAACAAAAAATACAACTTAAAGCTAAGAGGTTGAACTCTCTGACTGAAGCTGTGGGACCCAAATACCTCTTTGGACCTTTGGATCTTTGGATCTTTAAGCTAGTGCCGCCCAGAGACAAAATCTATGGGCTGACATGCTAAAAACACAAGAAATGTCACCTGTAGAAAGAGCGGTCGATAGCCCCTCCAACTCCCCAGCATTTGAAGGAAGTTCGGGCTGAAGCTTGTCATGGCAAAGTTGTTCTGATGAGACTGATCAGACGTTCTCACATGCCGAGAGGCTAAAGGTAAGTTACATTTTGTGGCCTCTTTTTTTTAGTCTCGGGGTAGATATGCAAGCTGGGCAGTAGATCTCGAAGGCCTCAAGAGGACATTAGGAGTTTAAAGATTTTCTGCGATCCTAAGTGTGGAAACATTGGGGATTTAGCCATTTTTAACAGGAGTACTCAGTTGTTTTCCTAAGGAATGATCCTGCTTGCA